AACCACCTCCCACCATTTTTATCTAAAGGCAATGATGAGGATAATGTTAAATTAAAATGTTAATGTTGAAACATTTAGAACTAACTGACAAGACTAGTTGTTTCAGCCACMATCATCTTGATTCTAGGCTCCATCTGCTACAGTATGTCCTGCTGGAATGTGATGGGATTTGTGTCATACAGGTGTGATGGAGTGAGTTCAGTTCAATAGGATATGTCAGGATGTTTTATATTTAGATTTCTCATCCAACCACAATCACATTTACTCTATCCAAGGGCTCCATGTGTCTGGATAGATTTCCATTTACTTTTTTTTCTGAACAATTAAAAGATCGAATAAAAACAAGTCAAAGTTAGATAGAAATGAAATACTTTTTGCATTTTTAAAAAGTAAGGAGTAGAAAGTACAGCTAATTGAATTAAAATGCAAGGAGTAGAAGTAAAAAGTAGGCTGAAAATTTTTTACTACACRAAAGTATAAATAACCTAAATTTCTACTTGAGTGAAGAAGCAAAGTATTTGTACTTAGTTACTTGACACCTCTGGTAATTCTGAGCAGAAATGTAYATTTCTGAACTGTATCAGTAAGCAAATACCTCATGTGAACTTTGAACATGTTACCTCAGTGGTCTCAGCCCAGAGTTCAGTTTGCCCACTCTGAATCTTCTGCACACCCTGCGTCTCACACTGTGTCCCACACTGTGTCCCACACTGTGTCCCACAGCTGCAGCAGAGATGGCAGCACCCAGCAGGATCCTGATTAAAGGGGGGAAGGTGGTCAACGAGGACTGCTCGGTCGTCAGCGATGTTTACATTGAAAACGGGAGAATAGCAGAAGTCGGAGTGAATCTTCAGATCCCTGAGGGGGTGCGGGTTCTRGATGCCACAGACAAGCTGGTGATCCCAGGTGGAATAGACACACACACACACATGGAGCTGGCGTTCATGGGCACAAAGGCTGTGGATGATTTTCATGTTGGGACCAAGGTGCAGTAGATTTAAATAATTAATCAGTTTGTGTATAAAACAACATAAGACAACATGTTAAAGGCCTGGCATTCTTTGAAGGAATGCATATCACCTCATATTTTCTGCAAGTTAAGCCTGATAAATGTAACTTTCCTTTCTCTGGTCGTGTGCATGTTTATTAAGGCTGCTCTCGCAGGAGGGACCACAATGATCCTGGACTTTGTAATCCCTCAAAAAGGCAAGTCCCTACTTGAGGCCTACGACTGCTGGCGTAAAACCGCCGATCCCAAAGTTTGCTGCGACTACTCCCTGCATGTTGCTGTCACTTGGTGGGGAGAGCAGGTGACATTTAAAAAAAAAGAACTACCAGAGCTGCAGGTTTTAACTTGCCTCTCTATAGGCTGTATTTCTCTGAAACTTCATTTTATTTTTAGGTCCAGAAAGAGATGGAGATCCTGGCCAAAGAAAAGGGAGTAAACTCCTTCAAGATGTTCATGGCCTATAAAGACGTGTTCATGCTTCAGGACTCCGAGTTATATGCTGCCTTTACTCGGTGTAAGCAGGTTGGAGCTGTAGCTCAGGTTCATGCTGAGAACGGAGACTTGATTGCAGAGGTTTGTATAATCAGATCAGCTGAAAAGAGCTTGTTTTTGTTTWATTAATTAATTATTCCTTTTTGTTTTGTTTTCATARATTTTCATCAAGTAACATCGGGGTGATTGTTTTCATTTTTGTCAGCACAGTCAGAATCTGACTAAGCTCAGAGTGTTTGAATGTGAATGTGCACCACAACAACACAAGCTGCTGCCTCCAGCTGATCAAAGGTCTGCTTCAGATCTGTTGGGATTTTTGTTTAAACACTCCTGAACTCAGAGGAAGCTGTGAGTTAATATTTTACTTTCTGTCACCAGAGGAGCAAACACTTGCAGAAATAACAGGAAATATCTGTTAAGTTCTTTCAAACTTCCCTACAGCACRATGTCAACCAAAAAAAAGTGCTGACAAGTAAAGATGTGCTTCATGCAAAATGCATTAATAATAGGTGTTTTTTTTTAATTCTGTAGTTGTTCCCCCTTTATTCTATTTATGGATGSAAGGCTTATTTTAAACAGGAACATCTTGTGAGGTGACCGGGTTGATGGTTTTATTTTAGTTGTCAATGCAATAAACTACCGCTAGAGGGCAGTATAAGTTAGACCAGCCTCCAGTTCCTCTTCTGTTAATTTGGTCGCTTCAATTCATGTGCCTCTAATATTTCCAGGTGATAAGTCATAAGGTTTTTAAATATAGTAATACTATAGTAATATGAGACTCAAAAATAGCATTTTTTTTATCAGTGATGATAAATTCACACACATCCAAGTATTGGTGTGGAAAAAAACTGGATCACTTCCTGTTTTAATATTAATCTATCCATGTTTGTGGTTTCACAAATGCAGCACATATGATTTTGCAAACTTGTATTTAGTTTCGTGTTTGGTCACATGGGTCTTCAGTCATAATTTGTTCAGATTTTAGGTTTAAGCTTTTGGTAAACTGAATATTCTCATACTTGTGTAGATCTTTTTATGAATCTTTTGTCTTTGTAGCTGGATCAGTCAGACTGGTTTCTTAAWTTACTCTGTTATCAAAGGGACCAGCACATATGTATTAAAGCAACTTTATTATATTACTCAGTCACTGTTTTCCATTTCTGTRATAGTTTTAGATTTTCTATTCATTCTGAAGTTTTGGAGAAGCTTGTAAAAAATACATAAGATGTGTGGCCTGATTGGACGATGACATTTGGTAGCAGTAGATGGAACATGTAGTACTGACAAAGTTCACACAAAAAAATCTCACACAACTGTGTGCGCACGTTTCTGTGCACTTTGCCTTCATCATTGAAAAACTGGGGTTTTCACACCAAAACTAAAATCCATGACAGAAATTTAAGGATGCTGTTGTTGTAAAATGACAATTTGAAAACTATGACAATGTAAGAGTTGAGGATTTTCCAACAGATGTTCAGTTTGTAATTTTTCAGATAATATTATGTGCCGTCCAGAGACCAGAAACAAGAACAGAAACTACATTAATATTATCCCAAACTATTAATTTAATTGCCATTTCATGCCATATTAGTTTTAATAAATATAATGTTGGTCTGTGAGAGAAAAACAGAGTATCTGGAGAAAACCCACTCATGCATGGAGAGAACATGTAAACACAACCCAGAAAGTTGTTCCTCTTTAGAGGCAACATGTAGCTCTACCAACTGTGCCACTGTGCTGCCTAAAGTCATATTTATTAAAAATAATTTCAATTATTTAACTAATTTAAAAAAGTATTTATGTAGCCTCCTGAGAACCTCCATCTTTATTTAAGATCATTAGTTTCAGACTTTCTTTTTCAGAGGAACTAGATTTGAACCATATATATATATATATATATATATATATATATATATATATATATGGTCAGACAAAGGTCTTAATTAGTAAAGGACGACTGACCTTCACCTCTCATTCAGTAATATGAGACACAACTTACAGAAAATGAATTACAAAAATTATTATAAATTAATGAAGTGAACTGAGGGTGCAGAGTTTTTCTGACTATCTTAGTGATATTCCCAACATATTCATCCCAAGGTCAGATCAAACAARACTCAGAAAATTTGCAATATAATTTAATGAAATAATATCCGAGCTCCACCTGAATAACTACAGACCTGGTTAAACATACAAGTTCATGACAAGACACTTAGAAAAAGACAGAACAAGTATTCATTGTTTAAAAAAGTTACCAGAAAAATTGTAATAAGGAAGATGACAGCATGATTTACTGGTAGATTTCCAGGTTCATGTAAATGAACCACAGGACTTACGGAGCGATGTCTTTTAGATGTGACTAAAGCAGAAGTTTACTCACTCTGCACAAACAACATATCTGCACATACTGTCAAGCACAAGGATCTCAAACAGAAGGAGATCTATAACTGAATGATTGCAAACTGAAAAAAAAACATGAAAGTGCTGCAGTGATCCAGTCAAATCTCTGATTGATTCTGATGGAACCATAACATTGCTGTGCAGAAACAACTGACYCTTCAGTTCTTTGAGATTGACACTGTAAAAAAAAGAGTGGGCCATTCCTCTACAATGATTGCTGACAGGGTTTGTAACCAAACGAGGTCCTACAAGTATTTAAATCCTGTTTTTTTTTAGGTATATAAATCTCGATCACAAAAAGTAAGGAAATTAGTGTTTTTGTAATAAATGGTAAGTGGYCTGTACTTATATAGCGCTTTTCTATCCATCCAGGACACTCAAAGCACTTCACACTACAACRTGTATCCTCATTTACCCATTCACAGCACTCTATTAGGTCTCTACAAAGCTAACATGTACAATCATCTGTGGAGACTAATCAGTGCCAATCACATTCATACACTGATGGGACACACATCAGAGGCATTAGAGGTGAAGTGTCTTGCCCAGGGACACAACAACAGAGACAGCTGAATGGGGGATCGAGCCAGCAACCTTCCGCTTACAGGACGATTCCCCTAACCACTCTGCCACAGCCATCCCAGTATAATGCTTCTTAATAATAAAACTTATAGCAGCACCTGGAGGTACCAGAAGTTCAAAACAAGAATCAAAAGCAACGGTAAAATAAGCTGTTAAGAGAAGATTTGGCTATTTTTTCTTGTGTGCAACCCACATACTCAGCTCTCCTGCTCATCCCACAAATGCACGTTCCTTACAAATTTGGCACCATTTAAAAGAGAAATGAACAGATTTTACAACYATATAAGTTTTATTTTTGTGCCAAGTTTATATTCAGGGCCCATTTAGACATTTATCTACACACAGGACAAACACAAGCTATGTTTGGTTTTCAGTGTTMAAAAGTACCTACCCTCACTTTTAATCTTTAACTCTTTGTTGRATCTGGTCCTGCTGGGACCTAACAGGGGGCTAAGAAGATGCTGTCCATGGGTATCACAGGGCCTGAGGGTCATGAACTGTGTCGGCCAGAGGAAGTGGAGGCTGAGGCGACCCAACGAGCCATCACTATTGCCCACGCTGTCAACTGCCCGCTTTACGTGGTCCATGTCATGAGTAAATCTGCTGCCAACATGGTGTCCAGCGCACGCAGGGATGGTGAGGAAATGATGACCTGCTGTTAACTTTTAAGACCCCGAACAAACTGTTCTTTACTGGATGTTGCTCAGTCAGAACCGTGTGATTCCATCCATCCATTGTCTTTACCTGGTACTTCCTTTCCGGGTCACAGGGGTCACTTGTGCCCATGTGTAYCAGTCACTGTGTGAGAGACAGGGTACACCCTGGACAGGGTGCAAGTTCACACGATTCTTAAAGTATMTTTTCTTAAAAGGCCGTGTGGTGTTTGGGGAGCCAATTGCAGCTGGACTGGGAACTGATGGTACCCACTACTGGAACAAAGACTGGGCCCACGCTGCAGGCTTTGTTATGGGTCCTCCTCTCAGACCTGACCCCAGCACTCCTGGGTACCTCATGGACCTGCTGGCCAAGTAGGTGAAACTTTGCATTTATTATTTAAAATATAAAACTTCAACACATTATTTTGACAGTTATTTTGATTTGATTGTTACAGACTCAAACTTCTTCCTTCTGTTTCCTGTCATTTGTAACAAACAGTGATGATCTGAGTGTGACGGGAACAGACAACTGCACCTTCTCGGTTTGCCAGAAGGCTCTGGGTAAAGATGATTTTACTAAGATCCCTAACGGGGTGAACGGTGTGGAGGACAGGATGTCTGTTATCTGGGAGAAAGGAGTGGTATGTTCACATGCCATACATGTCATTTATCTAATATTAATCCAGCCACAGCTGTGCTCTAATCTAATTTCACTTTCAAAATGGTGCATGTTGATGCCTGCTCAGAAGTCCTTTGTCCAGAAAAAGTCTGACTGAAAACTGAAATTAAAATAAAAAAATGAAGAAAAAAAAAACACAGAAGAGTATCTGAGCACTAGTAAAAATTAAACTTCACCAGTTAAAAATAATCAGTGAGAAAAAGTAAACTTTTCACTCTGGTTGTACCGACGGGTCATTTAGCTGAATAAAAAACATTCATTTTGATTAAAGGCCTAACATCCTTTAAAGAATACTGTTTTTTTCTCACATTTAATTACATGATTTTAAACTGGGATTATATTATGATGAGAAGAAAATTGTAACTGCATCAAACCTTAGAAATGACTAAGCACAATCTGATTTGATATTGTGAGATCATGGAAGCTATATCACTCATTAAGGGAAACTTTTAGCTGATTCCAAACCAAACCTGAGCTATCTGTAAAATTACTGAGTTACAGACATTTTGTGTTTGTGGTGGCAGCCGTACTGAATTAGGTTGACATATTAATGAGTTGTGGATGAACATTTAATGAATTAGGGGTGTCATATACCAGTTTTTCCCTTAAATTGAGTATGAGTACATGTACGTCAGTTTGGGTTCTCGATACTAAGTTAGAACCTACACTTTACACAATAGCTTTGAAAACACTTATATTTTTTAATTTAGAACAAGGTGGATCTTCTCAGGCCTATGACCCATCTGACTGGATCAAATCACTTATACAGCATACTGTTGCAAAACCATCCATCCATCCATCCATCCATCCATCCATCCATCCATCCATCCATCCTTCCATCCATCCATCCATCCATGACTCTCTGTTGCAAAATTTTAAAATATATATTTTTATAAAGAATATGATGATTTTCTTTCAACTTGTATACATTTCTTAAAAATCTAAACTGTAACACGTTCAAAGTAGTATTGATACAACATTTAGTATCTATCTGTTTTTGTAGGAGTACACGTACTTGTATAAATACCATACCATACCATACCATGCCATACTACTTTTATTTATAAAGCACTTTAAACGGCACAAGGCCAACCAAAGTGCTGTACAGTAGACAGACAAAACAGGACATAGTTAAAAATACAGTCAAAAAACTGCTGGTATTGGGTCTGCTGCCAATACTAGTATCAGTACRAGGGCACCAATACTTTCTGACAGTTTTACTAAATTCTCCCCCCACAAGCCAAGAAATATTTTGCTAACAATCAGAGGGGGCTTGTTTTTTTTAGAGTTTTAGATACTCAAATTATGCGTTAAGGTTTGTTTTGGACATTTTGAACTGGCTTGACTCGAAAGTGAATCAGTTTTAGATGATTGTTCAATGATCAGAGAGTTTGGTTAAAATAAACTAACATCTGCTACAACAAACTGTTTAGTTTATGCTTTTTAAAGATTTCATTTGTGTGGATGTTAATGTAGGATTGCTACTTCTCACAGTGAGGGATTTAATTATGGGAACAAAAAAGTCAATTAAAAATGATTAGGCTCTATTAGGTCACAATGCTGAAGCCAGTTTCAATGCTTAGTTTGACTTTATGAACTAATTAAATCAAGGAWGAACATTTTACTGCAGTATTGATTTCTCTCTGTTCTCTTATTGTGTCTCAAACCTAAATGTCCAGCATGCATTGCCTTTTTTAAATACATAAACTACGATCAATTATTCTACTTTCTATTCAGTTCAAAATTTTCTGTATTGATTTATGTAAAGTAAATGTCTCTGTTTTTTTTCTGCAATCCAATCAGAAAATGTTCTGCTGCAGCTCATTGGTTGATGTTGCATCTCTTCTTTTGAGAGAGGCTCCTACATGCAGCAGAGCTCACAAATCTCATCATAAATGACACATTTTAGGTCATATTTTTGTCCCATGAGAGTTCCCTGCTGACCTTTTTTTTTTTGCCTGCTAATCAGTTTTCATGTAAATGCTTTATGTGTTCTCCTCTTCAGCACAGCGGCAAAATGGATGAAAATCGATTTGTGGCCGTCACGAGCAGCAACGCAGCAAAAATCTTCAACTTCTACCCYCAGAAGGGCCGAATCGCCAAAAACTCAGATGCAGATGTGGTTATATGGGACCCCAAGCTGACAAGGTGACGACTTTATATCAGGAGGAAGAAAAGCTCTCCTCAGTCACACACGATGCTGCTAAAACCAGCTTGAAAGCGTGTCTTCAGGGTGACAAACTTTTGGTTAAATAGGACGCAGTTTTATAAATTCGGCTGTGGAAAGAAAGCTAAATGCAGGCGACTAAAAACAGACATGACGTGTGCTTTTTTATGTTGATCCACCTCATCACACCATGTAAGCTGATTATGTCTGAGCCTCATCCAAATGTCTGGATGTCATCACTTATCTGCAGCTTCAAATTAATGCACAACACAGTTTACATCTGAATCSAACACCTGGAAACTGGATGTGGAGATGAGTCATTTTTATCTCTGTTTGGTGATTTTTATTTTTATTTTATTTTTTTGGTATTAAGATTATTTTAGGGAACGATTTTAACCCACTTATATAAGCTTGCCGCATCAGGAAGATGATGCTGATTGGTTACTGCGAGGATCCTAAATCTGACAACCATTTTATGTGGGAGGTAAACAGATATTCATAGAACAGAACGAGCCGTTAAAGGTATTTTCAGTAAGTGGCTCAGGATATCACATATCCGTCTGTTAAAATGTGTTAGGTTCTATTTGTTTTCTGATTCTCCCTCTGGAGTCTTGGTACGAAGCAAAGGCCAGGAAGCAGTTTGCATTCAGCAGCATATGATTTGTTGTACAGTCAGACTTATATAACTCACTGCTCAGCTTTCTGTTGAATCTTGATTCAGCCCCTCTGGGAGATCACTAACAGCTCATGTGAACTGGAGAATTCATTAAACCTCAGTGTAATTTGTTGTAAATGAGTTCACTGGTTACATGTTTAAGTTAATGTGAGAGGTCTGGGAAAAGTTTTCCCCCCCTCCTGTCAGGCCCATAATCCTCGGACCTGGCTTGTTTCTTCTTGCTGTCTCCGTACACTCAGTCTGCGTCTGCAGATGTCAGTGTTCCAGCCACGAGACTGCCTCATGTTTTACTGCAGCAGCAGTGAATTCATCTGTGAAACTGCGTAATTAATCACCCTTGGGGGCGGAAGCGTTGTCTCATAACATCCAGGACCAGGGACAACAAACGGTTGCATAACCCAGAAAAAGAAAACACTGGGGAAGTTCACGCAGTTGTCTTATTTCTCATAAAAGGGTGACTTGAGTAAAGACGACAAATCTTATGTTTGTCAGRACACACACTGGATGGAATGTGGGGCTTTGTAAATCAACAGGAAATGTGTGAAAACACAAGAAATAAAGGGGGAAATTAGCATTCAGAGCTGTTTAAAGAAGACGCTGAGTCTGATTTAATGACTGTTTCCTTGTTGATTTTCATTCAGATGTGATGTATTTGTTCGGCATCATCAGTCCATCTTGTGCAGCGTGTTGATGAGTTTTTTTCCATTTCCCACAAAGTCAACCTAATGAGATTGTGTTTAAAACCAGAACTAAATAACACCTGGCAAATGTATATAGTTAAAAAAATGCACAAATGCTGTTAATATGTTGACACTGAGATGTTTTGTTCTTATAAAGTCACTGTTTGGGTTTTGGGTTCTAAACTTTAAGCTGCTTTTAGCCTATTTTTAAATGAACTCTTCATGGTCAAACAGCTGTTAAAACCACAACACAAAGACACAAATTAACTAATTTGTTTTGATTAACCAGGGCAGTATATTTAATAAATGTATTAAAGAGGCTAAAAACAGAAATCCAGTGAGAGCAAAAATAGAAACTCACTCATTGTGATGCTAATGTTGCCCTCATTCTGTGGATTGTGTTGCATTTATWTGCTTAAAGCTAAAATGATTGAAAGTGGTATTTCTTTAAGGAATGCAGGTCACTTTGCACACCAAAGTTTTAAACACAGATCTTGCATGATCTGTTAGTGTTAWAAAGAATAACACAAGAGCATGTCTTTCATGGTGGCGGGTGATTAAAAACTGTAGTATTTCAGTGAAGAATTAAGTTTTTATGTCAAATAAGCAGTAAAAATGAATGAAAATATACTGTACATTCAAAAGACCCACTGAAGCATGTTTCATTGATTTGAATAGGTACATGTTTTATACAGTGACATATCACGTCTAACCAAGGATAAGCTGAAGTGGATGGATGGATGGATGGATGGATGGATGGATGGATGGATGGACGGATGGATGGATGGATGGATGGATGGATGGGTGGATGGATGATGATGGTTGGTTGGAGGATGGATGGATGGATGGATGGATGGATGGATGGATGGATAGATGGATGGATGGATGATGGATAGATGGATGGATGG